TCCTCCCATGTAAAACTTGGAGAGTTATAGTATCTTCCTTTTAGATTGTCGTGTGTATTAATAAGTTTATGTACTCAGTTTTTAAAAAGGGCCTGGAAAATGGAAAGTGGCAAGTGTTGAACAAATAAAAAATAAGAATATTGTCTCCAGTTTGGGAGATTCGACTGAAATTTCAAGTCAAAATCCCACAGAGGTTATATGCCTCTAGGTTTATAAATAACATTTGCCTGTAATTTTCTTTTTCAGTTATTTTCCTTTTCTATATTCGGAAACAGTTTATATGAGGTATATTTTTCTCTTCCTTGAAAGTTTTTAAAAAAACTTCATTCACAGACCCATCAGTACCTGACTAGTACCACCTTAGCTGGTCACTTTTAGGTCATTATGATATTTTAAAGGAAAATAAGTAAACTAATGTGGCATCATAACGTTGGGGGCTCCTCACCCATACATACATTCTGTCAGTCTTGTAGGAAACATTTTCAATAGGAGCTTGTTTACCTTTTAACAAAGCAACCCAAAGAGTATGAGCAGAAAGCGCCTCTGCAGGAGTATATATTTTTATAAGAATCATGGGCAAGTCAGTTTCAAGATTTATGGTAACATGTTTAGTAAGAAAACATGTCTGTAAGGAAAAGTCATTGGAAAATCCTGAGGCATATTTTCGCCGGCAAGTGCTGGGTTGTTGGAGAAAGGAGGTCTGCAGAATCATTTAAGAAAAGTCATGCAGCCTAACACCAGCTTTCCTGTAGGCACAGGCTGTAAAAGAAATTGGACTCTAAGCAAGAAAAGAAAATAGGAATACTTACCCAATTGAATTTTGTAAACACTGAGTAACTACTCTGTGAAGAACTCTGTTGCAGTTCTCAGAATTAAAGCAGCACATCTCTTGCTCCCAAAGAGTTTAAACCATAGTTATATAAATATGCAAAGTATAATCCCAAATGGTGATGGTATGCTTGTTATCAAGTTGAATATGTTGAGTTCTATGAGCTGTATCGTAACTGTATAGTCTTGAAAGACCTCGGCCTGGGTCATTCTCAAACAAATTTGACTTTTCTGAAGGCACTAAGACACCAAGATTATCCCATGGTGATATGACATCAATTGGAAGGTGCCCTGCTTGATGAGTTGTGTAAATTAAGTGAAGTATGCATGGATAAAAGGCCCAACTGCATTTAATTCATTCTATGGAATCATGTTCAAGATGTCATATGGGATGTAACAGTAATGCCTCTCACGCTGAATAGCATTTTACAGTTTTAAAACTCTTTTTACTTACTCCATCTCACCCGAAGCTCACAGCATCTTTCTGAGTTAGGTGAAATTAACCACTTTCAGAGAAACATAAACAGAAGTTCAAAGAATATTACTCGATAGGCAGTGTGGGTGCTATGGTCTGAATGTCCCCACCCTGGATTCATACACTGAAACAGAATCACCAATGTGATCAGAAGGTGGGGCCTTTGGGAGGAGATTAGGTCATGAGGGTAAAGCCTTATAAATGGGATTATAAAGAGGACCCACAGAAGTGCCTTGCCACTTCCACCATGTGAGGATGCAGCTAGAAGGGCTCCTCTATGAACTAGAGAACAAGCCTCCGAAACTGTGAGAAGTCCATTTTTGTTGCTTATAAGCCACCCAGTCTTGGGTATTTTCTTATAGCAGCCCAAATGAAAAACATGGATTATCAAATGTAATTTTGAGCAAGTTATTTAATTTTGATGTGTCTGTTTCCTTCTATTAAAAAGCTAGGCCAATATAGTGGTATAAATATTAAAGTCATATACAAGAAACACGTGGTTTAGATATTTTCTGGACCAAAGTGAATACAAACACATAGGGGGCAGTACTCACATAGTTTAAAGCCATGTGTGTTGCCTGGAGCTTTACGACACAGTAGCATTATAAAATAAAGCTTTAAAACAAGCATACAGATATTAATCATTTTATAAGTTCTTCAGTGTTTATAGACTGAAGGTAATTCCAATCAGACTGATTTTTCTTCTAATGCCTTTTGAAAATTTGAGCACAGACCCGTAAGCTTATGGAAGTTGAGTGCCAGTAGGGATATCACAGTACATCTGGTGCAATCTTACTTTATAAATGAGGAAAGTGAATGTTAGCAAAAAGAGTTTTCCAAATTCATATACCTGGCCCCTCCAGAGTTAGATCTAATAACCATAAAAAGTACATTTACACACTACCATTTTTAGATTGTTTTTTGCACCCAGCATCATTGTGACTGGAGGTGGGAGTAGGACAGGGAGGAACTTTGGCAGCCTGATGCCCAGGCTGGACAGGTGCAGAGCCACAGTGAGGTGGCTAAAAACCAAAAGCTCTACAGGAAGAAGAGCCTAAGAGACCACAGAAGTGGAAGACAAACTTGGCTCTAAAAGAGTCTTTTAACAAAGCAACCCAGAGGGTGTGAGCATCAAGCACCTCTTCCGAAATGTAACTTATTTTATAAGGCTCATGGACAAGTCTGTTTCTGGATTTATGACCAAGACATGAAGGGAATTCTCTCCTTTCTCCTGTCTCCTTGGCATCTTGTTCCCCAGATCCAGAGGAGGAGCGCTAGTCCATTGATTCAGAAATCTGGAGGCTTCTAAAGTCTTTTCCCGGCAGATCTTGAGAGCTGCCATCTACAGCATTGTTTTCATGAGAAAATTAATTACAGAAACAAAATAACTGACTTAAATGAACCTCTGGTGGGAACTGGATAGCAGTCTGCATCCTGTTCTCCGGAAGAACTTTTCCAAAACAAACAAACAAACAAACAAACCCAGAAACAATACATTTAGGAAGGCCACATATTCTAGAAGCCTCCCAGGCAAGGTTGCAGACCATTCTCCACTCCCATCCCACCCCACCCTTACTTCCTCACCTCCTCTTCCTCCTCTCAGGCAAGGTTGCAAGCCATTCTCCACTCCCATCCCATCCCACCCCACCCTTACTTCCTCACCTCCCTCCCTCCCTCCCTTCCTTCCTTTCTTCCTTCTGACAGAATTTTGCTCTTGTCGCCCAAGCACAAACTAAGTTTCTTTCTCTTTTTCTTTTCTGAAACAGAGTTTTGCTCTTGTTGCCCAGGCTGGAGTGCAGTGGCGCAATCTCAGCTCACTGCAACCCCCACCTCCCTGGTTCAAGCAATTCTCTTGCCTCAGCCTCCTGAGTAGCTGGGATTACAGGCGGGCACCACCACGCCTGGATGATGTTTTTGTATTTATGTTAGAGACAGGTTTTCACCATGTTGGCCAGGGTGGTCTTGAACTCCTGACCTCAGGTGATCCACCCACGTAGCCTCCCAAAGTGCTGGGATTACAGGCGTGAGCCACCACACCCGGCCTCTCCTCCTTTTCTTCACAGGCATGATAGGCACTGTTTAGGTCTGAAGATGGAACTATCATGACTTTTTTGCTTGCTATGCTAAGAAATCGGAATTATAATGAAAAAAATCAGAGAGAACATACTGATAGACTAATTTTGCCTTAGAGGAACTCCTACACAAGATGTATGATTTCCCCCCACAGAGTTGACTTCAATATGTACTTTTGTTCTGTTAGACATCCTAGGGCCATTTTATATGCTGAGAAAATGGTATTTTATGTTGACATTGTAACTTTTTTCTACAACAGTACTGCTTTTCCGACTGGTGGACGTATGAGAATTTACCTTTATCTGAATCCCAGGAACAGCAATATTATTCTATATTATCTTGAGTAGATACTCTGCAGTCAAAATAAAGAGCAAAGGACATTACCAATATCATATCAACTAGTGATTTTTGTTGTTGGCTATTTTTTTTTTTTTCCTGTAAGGGCTAAATTTGATGTTACCCTTGAGTTTTTCCAACTGGAACCTGCCAGGAAACTTACTAGTTACACAAGTGTTAGTAAAACGTGAAAAAGACCAGCAGTTGACTGACTGATTTGGCTGTAATCTTGTTTCTGCATCTTCCTAGCTGTGTGACCTTGTGCAAGTTAGTTAACCTCTCCTGACTCAGTTTCCTCAACTGTAAAATGGAGGTAATTGCAAGGTTGTGGTGAGGATGAAGTGAGGAGTATTTGAAACGCCCAGCGTGGTGCCTTACAGCCAGGAAGAACTCAATTCAAGACTTGCTATTATTGTTAGTTTTAGACAAATGTTAGACAAGGGTGTACTTTGTTCCCATCTGCTCATGTGCCACTTGACCATTAGAAGCAGCCACTGGTCTCAGTTACCTTGACAGAGTGAAATATCGACTTCCTCTGGGTCCTCTGGCTGTCTACAGAGCAAAGAAAGGCACAGGCCCGCCACTCATTTCCCTGCCCACTCATTTGTGCCTCCCGACCGGATCCAAATGTTCCAAAGCAGGGAGTGTTAGGCCGAAAGGACTCAAATAACTGCAATTCTTCTTTGTTTCTATAGCCATAGTCGCAACGAATTTCCACTATCTTTTAAAACCAGGATTGATTCTCTCTCCCGGAGCGAGATGATATAAATGACACTCGGCTTGTACAAATCAGCATTGTGTAGCCCATAAGAAAGCCATGGGAGAATCCGAACCACCAACTCCCTAAACTTGCACAGCTGGTATTCCCTCTTCAGGCCTGTTTCTCTATTCATAAAAGGAGCGGGGTTGCAGCAAAACGCTCCCCCAAACCCCTCCTCCCGCCCCAAGTTAAAAGAAAAAAAAAGAGAGTCGGGTGGGTGGCTCACACCTATAATGCAGCACTTTGGGAGGCCGAGGCAGGAGGATCGCCTGAGCCCGGGAGGTGGAGGTTGCAGTGAGTCAAGAGCGCACTACTGCACTCTAGCCTGGGGAGAGTGAGACCTTGTCTCACATACAAAAAAAAAAAAAAAAAAGAGAAAAAAAAGTCCATTTATCATTTATCTCCTTCCTTATGGACTAAAGAAACGCCCGGGCGTGAACACGGAACACCGCGGGGTAGCCAGGCCCCGGGGCTCCCACCACTGGCTGGCCGGCGTGGCGGGGCGGGGGCTGGAGCACCGCCCGGAGCGTGCCCACGCCGCCCCGCCTCCAGCCGCCGCGCCGTCGCTCAGTGGGCTCGCGGCCGCGCGCAACAGGCCGTGTCGGGTGAGTGGGGCGCTCTCGCTGGCAGCCCGGCGCCGGGGCACGCCTGGTCGTGCCGGATCCCGCGGGGCGCGCGCTGCTGCTTTAGGCACCTGGGCCCGGGTGCGGGTGTGGGAGACCTGCCGGTCGGCGGGAAGCCTCGGTGGCAGGCTTTATGGTTGCCGGACCTGGGACGCGCGCCCAGGCGCCCCACCTCCCCGGAGACCGAGGCAGGGTGGGTGCGGCCCGGATCTAGCGGTATGGTCGCGGAAGCCTTGGGCACAGAGAGTCGCACAAGTGCCCTGCTAATGGTCGCGACCCGGGTTACGAGCGCGCAGAAAGTTTGGAGGTTTGGCAAGGAGGGTGGTGCCGGCTTCCGCCCGCTGGTGGCAGAACTGCCTGTGTGAGCGCGGCCTCCACGTGGGCTGCGCCGCCAGGCGTCAGGTCGGGCCTAAGAGACACGCTCTACAGCTGGGAAACCTGAAGTTCAGGTGTGTGGGGAGAAGGGCAGCTGCATTACATCATAGGCTTCCAATTCATTTACCAACAAATAATTCCACAGCGATTGGCCGACAGCTGGGTTGTCCAACAGGTTACTGAGACCAGGTTATTCACTGTTTTCAGGAAGGATAGACTGGGAGGAAGAGGATCTGATTTTACCACTCGTTAGCTGTAAATCTGGTGTCTCGGGTTTCATATCACTAGGCTCATCTTTGAGCGGAGGAACCTGATTGACCCAGCTTCTTCTGCTGGTGCTGGTTTTTGCCTCCAGGACATCAAGCTTTGTAACATCAAGGTCACCAAAATACATTGAGGTATAGTCCGTTTCCTCTCTAAAATCAAACTAAAAAATAGCTACTGATCACCCCTTTAGGTCAATAGGAGAACCAGTTTTCCCTCTGGATTGATTAACATGTCTCTGAGCCAAAAATAAATGTTTTAGGTCTGGGCAACCTTGTTACAAACAATATATAATTTCTGACGGCCGTGTGTGTTTAACTGAGCTGCGTTTGACTGTTGTCCTCCATTAGTGGACCGAAAATTCATCTAGAGAGCGTATTATGTTGATGCAGATTTCTGGGCCGCAGCCGTCAGAAGTGGCAATCCAGTGGGCTTGATAAGGGACCCAGAAATTTGCATGCTAACAACCTTGCTGGTAACTCTGAACTATATTCGGTAAAACAGTGCCCAGGGGATGTGGAAACTCATACTTCCCTCCCCCGCTTTAGTAGTAACTACTGATGTCTAAAGTGCCTTTTAGCTTTTACGATACTGTTGAATCCTGAAGTGACAGCTGCCGTCAGAAAAATAATCCCCTCTGCACAAACCATCTGTTTTTTCCGTAACTGTTTTGTGTAAGGCCTTTGTGATTTGTCTCCAAAATTGTATACAGACAAAAGATGAAAACGTGAAAAATTCAGCAAACATTTCTTGAGGACCTCCTATGTACCACACTTTGCTTGTTTCTGGGGATATACAAATCCTTTCCTTCAAGAGCTTCCTCACGTCTTCATGTCCTCAAATATGGGAAAGGAGTTTAGGGTACCTTTAAAATATAGTGACTCTCTATCTGTTACCTAGAGTATGGTTGTCAACATTGATTTTCTTATAGGGTTTATCTGTGGGGTAGTCACCAAAGTATGAACCGTAAATCTTTTAGTCTTTTTACATTTAATGCTTATAGTCAACTCAAATGGAAAACCATTGCTCTTCAAAAACTTTTCTGTGATTTTATAGAAATATTTACTCCTATTGGGGTGGTCTCTGAGGCTTATGGGCAAGATTGTGTTGGCTGTACTATTCTAGACAAAGCATTGTCTTCTTTAATTACCATAGTATTGGATTCTAAGATAATGTGTTTTACTTTTTGCTGTTCCCGAAATTGTGATACGTACCTTAAGACTTTCATATGTTTAATGTGGTAGGATGCTTCATCTATTCTCCCCTCTGCTCTAGAAAGCTGTTAAAAGGAATGGTTGTCTTACAGTATGAGTAGTGTGAGAATCAGAGAAATAGTGTATTTGCCCAGAAACCTCTAAGCTTAGGCTCCAATTAACTGAGCCTCAAATCATTTCAACATGAACATAGAGAAACAAATGATGTAACTTTTGCAGTATGGGTAGTGAAATTTATATTCTAAGGAAAGCATTCGTTACACAGTATTGGGGTATATTTTGTTAGTGATTGTAGATGGGAAAGATTCTTTTAAGTGATTTTTTTCGGCATAAGTGTTTTGCATTCTTGTTTAGCCACACTTTCTGGTGAATGTGCTTATACTGTATTCATATATTATGCTTAAAGAAAACAAGCTTTTCGTTTGCATCTTCCTGCTGCTCTCTCCCCTTAAATTTTAAACGGAACAATTGTGAGCGATAAGAGATGTGTGGCTGAATATAAAATTACTGTATAGGGTGCCTTTAGTAATACAAACCTAATAAACCCATCTAGGTTTTTAAAAATTAAACGTGAGCAATGTGTGTGGTCCCCAAGACCATTCTTAGTTCAGCAATTTGCTAGGAGGACTTGGCTGATTTATTACAGGGAAAGGATGCCAAGCACAGTCAGCAAAGGGAAGAGGCACATGGGTGAAGTTCTGGGGAGACCAAGTACAAGACTCCAAGGGTCTTCGAGCGGCCACACCGGCTGCGCTCAGTTGCTGCAGCAGCTAGTTGTGTCAACACTTGTGAAATGTTGCCAACCAGAGAAGCTTGTTAGAGACGCAGTGCCCAGGGCTTTTACTGGGGGCTGGTCACTTAGGCCACCCCTGCCTGGCACATACCAACATTTCCAGACTCCTAGAGGAAAGCAGGTGTTGGTATAAACCATAATGATTGTACGTTTTAGGCATGGTGAACCACTCCTATCAGTTAATGGTGGTGGAAACTCTCCCAAAATCTTAAGTTCTCAGACGTCGGCCACAAGCTGCAGTTTCAAAGGATAGCAGTCAGGCCTGCTATGGAACCTCTTCTGCATAAGCAGTACCCCTTGCCGAATCCATTTTTGTATCTCTTTATTTCTACATCACTTGAGAGTTCCATGTACTAGCTATGCTGTGCCTTCCCGAAGCCTTAGTTCTTTCCTTGAGAATTCAAGCTAGTCTGTTTCACTGAAAGGAAACATTTTCAGAAAATGTGTCTTACTGACCACATATCCTAAACACTAAAGTTTATTTTTTTTTCCCTAAGCTTAAAGCTTTACCCCTCTTCTGTAGGATTTTAGTATCCATTTGTATTCGTTTTCCACCATGTCCTGCGTTTCCTTATCAAAAGCACTTGGCCTTTTGAAGGAACTGAGCTGTTTAGAGGGTTTTATATTTTGACATTTCCTTTCTTAATCTGTTCAGTTTACATCTGGGTTTCATTCTAAAGGTTCTTTCATAAGTCGCAACACATCACACCGTATGCAACACATCGTTCCAGGATGCTTACTTCCCAAGCCAAAACATTAATTCCACTTAGTCTACAGTGTAGCTGAAATACTGCTTAGTTCTAATGACAAAAGAGCAGAGAGCAGTATTCTTGCAATTCTGATAACTCACCAAAGTAGGAAACTCTACCATGTATAAATAACAAGTCTCTGAGAAATTTTGGTTTTTTATAAGCACAGTGGTTCTTAACCTTGTCGGGAGATGGGAATCCTTTAAGAATCTGCTGAAAGCAATGGAGTCTCTTCCCAGGGGGAAAGGACTTTAAGATAGAATTTTGCAGTCTCAGGAAATTTAAATAATTTGAATTACAGTTCTTGGAAACAGATGAGGGAGACCTAGCCTTTAAGTATCAATAGTTGTGGTTTGGAGGCAGTTCTAAAGGAGCTTTGCAAGGCTTGGCTGAGTGGCTTCTGCTACTCAGCAGTGTCAGCAGCAGAAGCATCACCTGGGAGCCTGTTGGAACTGTAGAATCTCAGGCTCCACCTGGAGCTAGTGAATCATCTGCATTTTGTTGAGATGCTCAGGTGATCTGTGTGCACATTAAAGTTGGAGAAGTGCTGTGTTAGGGGTTAATGATATTGGTATTATTTAACATCTTCAGTTAAAAAGTTATAGTTTTTTCAAGACTTTAGATGTAACTACTTTTAACGTTCACTTTTCAGCCTTTAGGGGCCTTATTTGTTTCTTTAAATGAAGAGTTTTTGATAAAAGTGGCAGTTTTCAGGAATAAGCTCAGAGTTGGAAGTGAGGAGGTTCAGGTGGTTAGTGGAGACAGGAGAAGGCAGTGGCCTGCTCCAGCCACCAGGAGACACTGTGGGTCCAGGGTGCATTGATTGGCCTGCGCAACAGTTGGGGTGGTGCTGCGGTGAGGAGCACCTGGAAGTGGGCGGCTGTTAATTGTTCTCTAGTCGAATGTTTGTAACTCAGAGTACATCTAATTAGATGTGGGCCCTGATGCTGATGGGAGCCAAATCCAAGATATTTGACTTTGCTGTGTCAAGGACCACAGGCTGAACCTATGAGTAGGAACTGCTGAGACAGTTGAATAGGTTTATTTGGGATAATTATACTGCCTAATAAATAATACCATGACATAGTGCTTGTGTAAAAGAAAAACACGTTCTTCTTTAGATGAATATGTCATCTGAGTGGTGGTTGAGGCTGAATCATATCTTAGAAGAAACGACATTGGCTTAAGGCTGTCTCCTCTCCTGGGGGAAGTAGCTTTGACCTATGAGAGTTCTCATGAAGGTGTAATGGTCATTCAGTTGCGTGTGTACGATCCACTAACACCAATCCTGGCACCTAACCATGTGTGTTTTGTTCTTTTGGTAGGTTTGCCTTTCTTTATTGCTTTGTCTTGAAGACAGAACGATGCCAAAGAAAGCAAAGCCTGCAGGGAGTGGGAAGGAAGAGGGGCCGGTTCCCTGTAAGCAGATGAAGGTAGAAGCAGCTGGGGGGCCTTCAGCTTTAAACTTTGACAGTCCCAGTAGTCTCTTTGAAAGTTTAATCTCGCCCATCAAGACAGAGACTTTTTTCAAGGAATTCTGGGAGCAGAAGCCCCTTCTCATTCGGAGAGATGACCCCGCACTGGCCACATACTATGGGTCCCTGTTCAAGCTGACAGATCTGAAGAGTCTGTGCAGCCGGGGAATGTACTATGGAAGAGACGTGAATGTGTGCCGGTGTGTCAATGGGAAGAAGAAGGTTTTAAATAAAGATGGCAAAGCACACTTTCTTCAGCTGAGAAAAGATTTGGATCAGAAAAGGGCAACGATTCAGTTTCACCAACCTCAGAGATTTAAGGTAACCAGTTTCCTCATTGCAGAATCCTCATACATTTTAAAGTACTAACTTTTGGCCACATAACAGCTCAAGGGTGAATACATAGTTTGATGATGGTTAGCTTCCTGCCAGTTTGAGAAGGGGTGGCACCTCTTTGGTCTAAATGCATTCTAACTAGGATTAAGATTATGTGTTAGGTTTTGGCTAAACTGTTAGAAACTCCAGCAACTCAGGGTAGACATTGTTGGGTATCATCGAGCTGCAAAAACTATACTGCAAGTTTATAAAGTCATTAAAGTGGCAGTACAACTGCAGGAGTATGTTCTGTGAGCCAGTTTATGTTTTTCTGTATGATAGACATTTCTATTTGGTTTGTCACATCGCCGTAATTTAAGGCATGATAGCATCAAGGTGATCATTTTTTCCCGAAGTTGCCTCCCTTTACTGCCTGCGTCTAAATAGAGGCTTCAGAGCTACGACCAGATCACATGCTAGATGCAAGTTCGATAAAGAGACTTCACCCTTAATGACACCCGAATGGGTGACATTGAGGTACAGGGTCCTGGAACTGCTTCTGGTAAGGCTTCATAGATGGAGGAAATCTTTGCTTTGCAAATGCAGAGGACCGGCACATTTTTAACTTTTTTTCTATATCAGGGATTGACGTTTGGGAAATAATTTGCCTCCTCTATGCTCGGTTTCTACATTTATAAAATGCAGATTTAGCATGAGCTAACTTGTTTTCCTCAAGGTTTGAGATCTGTATCTCATCTCATGACAGATGGCCCAGAACAGGTGAGGGGCTGTCTGGATTTTTAGATAAACTTTTATCCCCATTCAGAAACCCCCTTCTGTGACCCTCCGTTTTAAGTCAAAATGGCAACATGGGAGGAGAAAGAGCGGGGTTTGTGAGGTTCCATATTGAGAGCAATGAATTCTGGCTTTATTGATGGTTTCTGAGGCTCTGTTGTCAGTTACCAATAGTGTTTCCAGTGATTTAACTTGAGGTGGCTTGTTACATCCCACTGGCCTTCATCTGGTGAATACCCCTCTCTTTCTTTCTTGTCTAAAAGATCTTGAACCTATTCATACTCTGTATGAAGTATGAGTACTCTTAGATTCAAGACAAGTCCTGATTCCAGCTATTCCATCTCAAGCAATCATACGAAGTTGAAATGTCCCTGAAATGCTAACCTTGTGGCCTAGGCACTCAAAAAGAATTTACAAATCATTTGTCAGACCAAGTTATGATTTGAATTCAGAAAATATGGACACCATCAATAAAATGCCTCTCGCTGAGCTAGTCCTTGACTAGAAGTAGCGCTTTTAAGAGTGGTGTTTAGAAACCTGAAAACTCTATAAACCTAAATGAATTCAGTGAATTTGATTGCGTGTACTTCGGTCATAGACCAGCAGAGAGGTGATGTTTGGCATATGTGTGGTATCCACTGTGGCTGTCATTTCTCTACTTTAGAATCATCTCCCCCGAGGACTTTTCTCTGCTCATCCACTAAAGCCCTGCACATTCCTCGTCTGGGATTCCAGTGTCCAACAACCTGTTTCTTTTGCCTTGTTGACTAGGCTCTGGCTAAGTTTCTTAAAGCAGGAAAGATGAGCTTTCTCAGCCCAAATTCAGCCCTCAGGCCAGACTAGGATGTGCCTTTTTTTTTTTTTTTTTCAGGCTGAGTCTCGCTCTGTTGCCCAGGCTGGAGTGCAGTGGCATGATCTCGGCTCACTGCAAGCTCCGCCTCCCAGGTTCAAGTGATCCTTCTGCCTCAGCCCACCTAGTAGCTGGGATTACAGGCACACACCACCATGCCCGGCTAATTTTTGTGTTTTTAGTAGAGACAGGGTTTCACCATGTTGGCCAGGCTGGTCTTGAACTTCTGCCCTCAGGTGATCCACCCACCTCAGCCTCCCAAAGTGCTGGGATTACAGGCATGAGCTACTGTGCTGCGCCTTTTTTTTTTTTCAATCTCTTTCTACCACCCATACTGGAGAGACCTGTAAGCCATAGGAGCTCACTCTCTTCCACTAGAGTCTGGATTCTAAGTACTATATTATGAGGTGGTTTGGCATTGTGTGTGTTTCTTTAGTAATGGGCTTATTAACATCAGAATAGAGGAAGTCTAGAAGCAGTTTATCCCTGGCCAGGTTGAGAGACTGTTAGAGTGAACATGCCACCCTTTGTTTATTGGGTCTCAGACTGTGCACAGCTTATTAGTATAGTTAGTTTAAAAATGAGTAAGGGGGCAACCAGGGAGCCATAATAAGTTGTTTGCACTTGCTTTCGGTAATCCATATATTAAAAGTCCTGGTGAGAGGAATTATCACAATTATTTGCATTTTGCTTAGCAGACTAGAGTTTACCAAGTAATTTCATATATTTAAACTTTTGAACTTTCTAACAGGCATTTGAAATAGGGCAGCTTTTGTTCCATTTTCTTTTTTTCTCTTTCTCTTTTTTTTTTTTTGAGACAGAGTCTTGCCCTGTCACCCAGGCTAGAGTGCAGTGGCGCAATCTCGGCTCATTGCAATCTCCGCCTCCTGGGTTCAAGCAATTCTCCTGCCTCAGCCTTCTGAGTGGCTGGGATTACAGGTGCATGCCACGACACCTGGCTGGTTTTGTTTTTTTTTTTTTTTTTTAGTAGAGATGGGGTTTCAGCATGTTGGCCAGGCTGGCCTTGAACTGCTGACCTTGTGATCCACCTGCCTTGGCCTCCCAAAATGCTGGGATTATAGGCATGAGCCACTGCACCTGGCTGTGGACTCCATTTTCTGTGTGAAAAAACGAGTTCACAGATGTGACCTTTCCATAGCTATTCCAAGCTGATAAGGGTTTCTGACTTCAAATTTAAGGCATTTTCCTACCATACTTTGAAAGATGTAAATTGAAATTTAGTGGGGCTTTTTGTATGTTTGCTTTTGCCTTTCTTTAGGCATATACGCGGACTTCTATTTTAGCCATGGCCTTGAGTTTGGATTCTGAGGGGTAGGTCAGTGGAGAGAGGAGGTCACAGCCAGCCAAGAGAGAGACTTCCGGCTTCTCCCTTTCATTGTTCTAGTTCCTCCTTGGACTTGCCGGATATCGAGTCCTGTGGTAAAGGAGAAGACAGGTTTCAGGAGCCTTGTTTGTGCTTGAGTCAATGTTAGTAAAGCAATATCGCTTGTATACTGCTTTGCAATTTAAATAGGATTTGTGATAAGTTGTTTTATGCTGTTCACCACAGTGTTTGAGTGGGACTGGTAATATCGTTATCTTAAAGATAAACAACTGAAGTCACCTTGCTTGTAATTATAACTTGAACCGAGGTGGTTTGGCTCCAGATCTCTTCTAGTAGGCCACGGTTGGCAGATTCAGGGGCTAAAGGTCCTGGTGAAATAGAAAAATGGTGCCATTGATAGCATTTTCAGTAACCTTTAAGAAGAAAAGAGACATATTCATCAGTTACAGACCCTGAGAGTTGGGTCGGGAACCATACAATCACCTACACAGTTCTGAAAGACCTCTCATACCGTCAGAGAGAGAAAGAGAGAGAGAGAAGCCCTGGTTTCTAGTGGTTCCAGTTACTATATAAAAATAATTGCAGAACCAGGTCCTGTTGGCCTTTCCCTGAAATAAATTAGGCCCTTTTGGAGCTCTGTTAACTCTTTGGAGCTATTCAGATGATATTAAATTATTTTTTCTGTGTTAAGTAGAAACTCTGAGATCTATAAATAGAGAGGCCCAGTGGTCTGTATAAAGATGTCCTTGGCTAAGTCCATGGCTCATATCTGTAATCCTAGCACTTTGGGAGGCCAGAGTAGGAGGATAACTTGAATCCAAGAGTTTGATACCAGTCTGGGCAGCAAAGTGAGACCATCATCTCTACAAAAAGAAAAAAAAAAAAAAAGAAAAAAATTAGCCGGGCAAAGTGGCATGCACCTGCAGTCCCAGCTACTTGGGAGGCTGAGATGTGAGGATCATTTAAGTCTGGGATGTGGAGGCTGCAGTGAACTGTGATTGTGAGCACACCACTGCACTTCAGCCTGGGTGACAGAGCAGACTGTGTCTTAAGAAAGTCTTTTTTCGTATTGACCCAGTTCTTCCCAGTGGATGTTTTTAATACAGTGGATTCTTTTTCACTCCTGTGGTAGAAGGGACTCCCAAGCTGTGGTCATTGGTTTGCTCAGCAAATATTCAAATATGTTGTCATGCAGTCTGTGTGCCAGGCACCGTACATTCATATGTTTAAAACTTTAGTCTCTTTAGTGTCCTGTGTGGTTTGTCTTTTCTTAAATTATCTGAAGGGTATGGACTCTGGAGCCATGCTGCCTGAATTTGAATCCTGGCTCCATCGTTTACTAGTTGCATGTTCTCATGCCTCAGTTTCCTTGTCTGTAAACTGAAGATAATGATAGTACCCTCTCTAAACTGAAAGTAATGGTAGTACTGTCTTTATGAGGCAGGGTTATTGTGAGGGTTGCATAATTAATATGTGTAAAGCACTTGGAGACAGTGCCTGGCACATAGGAAGTGCTAATATCTACATGGCCTAATTGCCCCCTCCTCTGTTCTCATCAGCCTTGGTAAAATCAGACTTCTTTCTCTCTCATGGGAATATATGGCCCATCACTAGGCCCCTCAGTCTGATGTCTGCTCTAAAGAGTTGATAGTAGAGAGAGGGAACATTACCCAGCCTGTTATTCCTTCTCTGTCTGTACCTTCTTCCTATGTGATCATTTCTGTTCCCATTGCTTTAAATATCTGGTTTGTGTAGGCAATTCCCAAGTGTAAATCTACAGTCCTTCGTTTCTCCCAGAACTTCAGACCGACTTAAAGCATCTCCATGTGGGGGGGTCTTAGCATCCCAAACTTAACATTCCTAATCTAAAACTCTTTTTTTTTTTGTCCTGAGAACTTGTTTTTTTGTAAGTTTTTTGCATCTCATTACATGGAAAGGGGAACTGATTGCCCACGTCAAAAACCCAGGAGTATTTTTTTTTAACTCCTCCCCTCTACATTGAGTCTGTCAGCAAGTCCTGTCTGTCCTGCTTCTAGAGTGCATCCCACTCTTCTATTTCCCTCCATGCCTTTCTTACCACCCCAGTCACTTCCCGCGTGAGCTGCTGCCTGAGAAGCTTCCTCACTAGTCTCTCTGACTTCCACTCTTTTCTACAGTGCATTCTTCACACAGTAACCAGGGTGAGCTTTCAAAAATGTAAATTGGATTGTGTCCTTCCTTGCTTAAAAGCCTTCCGGACTCCCAGTTGCCCACCTTGTCAGTCTCCCCTTTATCTGTTCACATCTGTTGCATGGTGTTTCTGCACTGGAATGGAAGATTTTTGAGGCCATGGGTATTGGCTGTATAATTGCATAATTCCCAGTGTCTGGTATATAATAGTTGCGCAGTAAAGACTTCCTAAGTGAACAAGAGCATGCTCTTACTCTTATTTCTAATACATTTTTCACCGCCCCCACCCCCGGACCCTTTTTTTTTCCTCTTTTGTAAAGGATGAGCTTTGGAGGATCCAGGAGAAGCTGGAATGTTACTTTGGCTCCTTGGTTGGCTCGAATGTGTACATAACTCCCGCAGGATCTCAGGGCCTACCGCCCCATTATGATGATGTCGAGGTAAGAGAGGGAGAAAATTGCTCCATGCTGGGAAGAACGAGTTGTTGAGAGCCTGGTTTAGTAGAGTTGTCAGGGTGAGTTCACATTATTCTCTAAGGCTCTTAGGTCTGTATTCACTCTTTCTGTGCAGTGTCTGGAGATATTGATTTCATCAAAATGTTGGGCCAAAGTAAATCCCACTAAACTGGTTTCCCATTCTGTCTCAAAGGAAGAGATTGTTTCCAACCTTACCAATTTAAAGAGCCACACATTCCTTTGAAACAAGTATTTATTGAATTTATCTACAGAAAGGTGTGCTTGGCTTTTCCTTTAATTTCACAAAGTACGGTCTTTAATAAGGTGAGGTCACAATCCTTCATCTGCTTTCATTTTGTTCTTTTTCAGTAGCTGCCAAAAATATGTATATATTTTCCATTTGTGAAAATCTTGGGGCAGCTTGAATGAGGGTCATGGTTTCACTTAAGTATTGGCATCTTGACAAGTGTTGATTTCACTCTGACGTGGCTGCCAAACAAATTTAACTCTTTGGCTTATGTATTCCATAGTTTTATTTTTGTCCTCATATAAGGTGTAAACACAGAGTTATTAGTAAAAAGTCCTCTTTTTCTCCTGTGGTAGCAATTTGACATCAATACATTTTCCCAAAATGTTATTTTTAAGGTTTTTAATAGAATATTAAAATATCTTTGACTGATTAAAGAATAAAAAATGCTAACTTTTCCTGTCTGCCCAGGCCCTTTCAACATTCAGGATTTAGACCTTCAGTAATATCTGAAGCTTGGCTTTTCCATCAGAGATTATGGGCTTTCAGCTGTCTGATAGAAGATTTAAAGGAATGAGATAGTGGAATATAAAGAACTCAGCGAGGCTCTAAGAAAGTGAAAAGAATGAATATCAAGTGTCAGGATTCATGATTCCCTGTTTTTAAAAATAAAACCCAGTAGTGGCAACTTCCGTTTAGCTGTGGAATGACATGCATTTCTCATGTTTCATTTTTATTTTTTATCGGAAACTTGTACCGTTGACCCTTGAGCAGAGTGGGGGTTAGTGCTGCCAACACCTGGTGCAGTCCGAAATCCGCTTGTAACTTTTGACTCCCCCAAAATTTAACTACTAGTAGCCTACCATTGCCTAGATATCTTACTGATAGCATACATTGGTTAACACTTACTTTGTATGTTATATGTGTTGTATACTTTATTCTTCAATAAAGTAATCTGGAGAAAAGTTGTTAAGAAAATTGGAAGAAAGAGAAAATATATTTCTAGTACTGTATCAATACTGTGAGTTTACATCATTTGTTTACAAGCTAAATTGTCCATCTGAAACTGTGGGCAGCCACAGCTGCAGGCCTTAGTCTACAGTACACATCAAGCAATTCAACTTTTTCTTGTAATGTTACAACTTTTTTCTGCTTCTCAGGAGTACTTGGAGTAGTCATAGTGGCACTTCATATGGGTCCCATGGTATTATTCAAGGCTTAAGGTGTTGCACTCAACATGATGAAAAATACACAAGAACTGTTGAGAGATCACTTTTTACTGTGATACACAATTCACTGGAGAGAGGAACGGTACATGTGGAGATAATTAGCATCACACTTGAGCTCATGGCAATAGCAACAGGAGGTAGTACAAAATTATTACAGTAGTACAATATGTACTAAAGTTAATTTTATTCAGCTATTCCATATTGCATCTTTAAGTTCGTTTACCTTTCTTGACTGCAAATGGTGACATGTATGGTCTGGAAGTATTTGTATGGGTAAGTTTTGATAAATTTTAACCTTTCGTAATAGATTTGTGAATATGTTATGGTAGTAGATGATAGACTAATATCTATATGTTTTTATATTGGATGCATTTATGAAATTCTTAATTCTTTTGATATTTTTCATGTTTTTCAAGTTGTTGCAAATCTCCCCCAAATTTTCCAATATATTTATTGAAAAAAATCAGCATATAAGCACACCTGCACGGTTCATCCCCATACCGTCAAGCCAGGTGCAGTGGCTCACGCCTGTAATCGCTTTGGGAGGCCAAGGCGGGAGGATTGTTTAAAGCCAGGAGTTCAAGACCAGCCTGGGGCAACAAAGCAACACCCCAAATTGTGACACTGCACTCCAGCCTGGCCAGCAGAGTGAGACTGTCTCTAACAGAAAAAAACAAAACAAACAAACAAAAAAACCTATGTTGTTCAAGGTTCACCTATATATTTGTCTAAACCCTTAGAGGGCTAATATTCTGGAAGCACTTTGTGTGTGACTTGTCAGGAAGCTCTCTGATGCTCCTGGGCCTTGTGGGTCTCTAGGTTTTCATCCTGCAGCTGGAGGGAGAGAAACACTGGCGCCTCTACCACCCCACTGTGCCCCTGGCACGAGAATACAGCGTGGAGGCCGAGGAAAGGATCGGCAGGCCGGTGCATGAGTTCATGCTGAAGGTATGTGATGACCATTGTGGGCACCTCATTGTTGGAGCCATTGTGGTTTTCTCTGTTGCTAAGACAAGTTCAGGCTCAAGGTTTAGAGTTCGTGTGCTGGTCCCCATGGGAATGTAGCCCTGGGTCTCAGGGCAGGGTGACTGTCATTGCCATCAGCCAGCACATGCAATTTCTGAAAGAGTCTTGGTGGTTTGCGCTTGGAGACTTGAGTTAAGGAAGTATTAAGTTCATTTCCCAAATAACCTGTCTTCATGTGCAGTTCAAGTTCAACAGGAAGAAAGAGAATTCAGTGAACCATTTACTGCTCTAAAGGAAAAATGGAAGCTCTGGCCTTGGTCAGCTTCTCCACATCTAAGACAGTGGTCAGCACAGGGCTGGAAGTTGCTTAGACAGAGGATAGCCAGGGATCCCTTAGTTTTTTTTTGTTGCTAAAATTCCGGTGTGACTCATTTTCATCCTGGTTTTATGGCACACTATCTCTGTAGCCCCTGCATACAGTTACCAGAACAGTAGTAATCAGGAAAGCTCTTGAGGATTCTTTCTCCGGGGATTCGGGTGGCTTGATCACGTGCAGGTTCCTTGGCATCTTACTGCTGAGAAAATCTGTCTTTGAGCAGTTGACATCGAAGGGAACTGAACGTAGCCAGTCCCTAGCAGGAGAGGTTGTTGAGGGAAAGAATGTTACGGGGATAGTGGTTCCATGATTCAACTTTATACTCTTTCTTAAAAACATGTAACTTAATTTCCTTTAGCATTAAAACAATAGTCATTTTAAACCATTCCAAAGATTCTGCCAACCTGACACATTTGCATATACTTATTGTTTTTCTTGTGTCTCGAAGTTATAATTAGTCTGTTTCTTACTCAGTGCCTTGTGTGTTTCTTGATTTCAAGATCCTTCCCTACCTCCCAGTAACGAAGGGAAACAATCTTGCTTTTTAGGATGGGTGCCTATATTATAGGATACTTCAATAAATAAACAACAGTAAAGGTAATCTTACTGGGTTTTTAATGCTTTCAGTCAGTGGTCATCAAACTGTAGCCCATGGGCCAGAAAATCTGGCCTACTGCCCGTTTTTGTAAAGAGTTTATTGGAACACAGCCACACCCATTCCTTAACGTACTGTGTTCACTCAGCACCAGCAGAGCGGACTAGTTGTCACAGAGATCACGTGGCCCACAAACCAAAAACATGTACTGTCTTTCCATTTGGCTCTTCACAGAGTTTGCCAGCTTCTGCTTTTGTTGCACCATGTTTACATAGATTCGTGGTTGGTTATCTTTAAAGACTAAGCCATCAATAGTCTGGAGGTCAGGGCTAAGTTACTCAGGCTAATGACCTGGCTACTTGCTCTGCCCGAGAAGGTCAGGCTTCATAGTGGCCTTTAAGTGTAAAGGGTGTGGATTCTTTGTATTGTTGCTATGCCCATTAAACACGCAGTGAACAGAGTCCAGTAAGAGATGCCCTGAGTCTCCTGGACGGAGAAAGACCATGTTGTGCAGTGTTGTTCAACTGTGTATGTGTATGTGCATGTGAGGTTTTTTTTTTTTATTTTATATTTTTTAGACAGAGTCTCGCCCTGTCACCCAGGCTGGAGGGCAATAGCGCAATTTTGGCTCACTGCAACCTCCGCTTCCCAGATTCAAGTGATTCTCCTGCCTCAGCCTCCTGACTAGCTGGGATTACAGGTGCCCGCCACCACGCCCGGTTAATTTTTTGTATCTTTAGTAGAGACAGGATTTCACCATGTTGGCCAGGCTGGTCTCAAACTCCTGACCTGGTGATCCACCTGCCTCAGCCTCCCAAAGTGCTGGGATTACAGGCGTGAGCCGCCACGCCCCGCCACCGCATCCCATCCACATTTGAGCTTTTAACCAGTGGGCCTCTTCAGGCGAAACCTTGTGTCAATGCCCAAAGATGAAATAGGCTGAGTGGCTGTGGTTGAGGGATGGGCATGAGAGGGTGACGGTGGGGATCTTGGAGCCCTTATCTGCTGCTTGCCCCTACACCAGTGGCAGCCTGTGTGGTTCATCTGCAGACCCAGACTCCCAGGATGAGAGCACCCCTGTGATGGAAACACCGCTCTGTGGCTCAGGGATCTGACAGATCTGAGTTTGAATTCAGCTGCTCTCACTTATTAGCTGTATGTCCTTGGTCAAGTTATTTATCCAAATCTCAGTTTCCTCTTTATTAAAATGGAGATCATGATATTTACCTTGTAGGCTATGAGGATTGAAAAATTTTATTTTGCTGCCTCCTTTACAATAAAAATCTTTAGGTGGGGCGCGGTGGCTCACGCCTGTAATCCCAGCACTTTGGGAGGCCGAGGCAGGTGATCACCTGAGGTCAGGAGATCGAGACCAGCCTGCCAACATGGAGAAACCCCGTCTCTACTGAAAATACAAAATTAGCTGGGCGTGGTGGCTCATGCCTGTAATCCCAGCTACTCAGGAGGCTGAGGCAGGAGAATCACTTGAACCCAGGAGGCGGAAGTTGCAGTGACCGAGATTGTGCCATCGCACTCCAGCCTGGGCAACAAGAGCGAAACTCCGTCTCAAAAAAAAAAAAAAAAAATCTTTCGAGGCAATATCTGTACGTCTGTCTTGTTTTCCTGTTGCTTCTTGTCAAATTACCACTAAATCAGTGGTTTAAAACAACATAAATTCATTATCTTATGTTTCTGGAGGTCCGGAGCCCAAAAGGGGTTTCTCTGGGGTTGCTGTACTGCATTCCTTCAGGAGACGGGGGGGGAGGATGTTTACTTGCCTTTTCCAGCCAGGAGGGTGGGGCAAATGTGTATGAAATCAATGAAATATACAGTCATGTGCCACTTGACATTTTAGTCAACAACAGACATATGTGACAGTTGTCCCATGAGGTTATAATGAAGCTGAAAAATTCCTATCACCTAGTGTTACTGTAGCCGTTGTAAAATGTTGTAGTGTGAAGCATTACTCACGTGTTGGTGGTGATGCTGCTGTAAACAACCCTACTTCTTTGCTAGTCGTATAAAAGTGTACAGTGGGGTCCTGGGTTCTCCCATTCACTTACCATCACTGATGGGCTCGCCCAGAGTATGTAGATGTACCATGTTTTATTGTTTATACTGTATTTTTACTTGTCCACATTTAGATATGTTTAAGTACACAAACATCATTGTGTTACAGTTTTCTACAGTATTCAGTACAGTCACGTGCTGTATAGGTTTGGAGCCTAGGAGCAGTAGGCTGCACCATGTAATCTTGGTAGTACCCTATACTACCTAGATCTGTAAGTACACTTTGATGTTTGCACAGTGACAAACCACTTTTCTCAGAACATAACCCCATTGTTAAGTGACGTGTGACTGTATACATAAGAGTCTCACTCGGGCTGGCACAGAGACACTCAGTGAACGATAGTTATAATTATCAGGAAAGCATTTACTTGAAGTACTGTCAGTTTGTTGTCATTCAGGGAAAATTTGCAACCAAGATAGCTCTTATGAATATACGTCATGATATATTCCTGTTGCTTAAAGCTCGTATTTCTTGAGCTCTTTCTCCAGGGCTCATGGTCTTAACCATTGCACTAGACTGACTCTTGTAGTTGCAGAGAGAAGATGAGCTGCCCTCCAGATTCCCTCTTTTCTCTGTAGGTAGCTGCTGTATGGAATGTTTCGGCCTGAGTGGGATTAGGAAGGAGGTAGCTCAGGGCAGGAGTAATGTGGGGAGAAGGTTTTGGTCCATTCACTTGGAATAGGGTGAGGGAGGCTCAGCTGCCTAGGAAAATGATGAATCTTTGATTACATCTGATTTTTCAGTTCAAATAAGGATTGTATAGTTTTTCAATTCATCCCAACATTCATTGAGCCTGTGTTGAGTGCTAGGTGCTTTGCTAGGGTAGGCTCTGAGAAAGACAAGAGGGTAAGATACAGACCCTGCGCCTGGGAGTACTCAAAAATTATCAGGAAGTGGGAAACTGGCAGATAAGATCATGTCATCCAATCACATGCCCATCATGGCCCTAAGAGCTTGGAAGCAGCACCTCTAACCCTCAGAATAATCCTGTAAGTTTTGGGGCTATGAACCTCCATTTTACAGATAAAGAAACTGAGACTTTGGGCAGGTAATTGCCAGATCATCAGCCAGTAAGTGGCAGTGTCTATGTGACTCTAAATTAAAGCTCCTACTGTTAACCACTGAAGCATGCAAGAGGGAGGAAGCAGGCTTCCCAGGCACAGGGTGTTACTATCCTTGATCCCTATATCAGGACAGGGTACTCTCAGGTGAGTCTAGTCTCAGCTTGAGAATGAAAAGATAGTTCCTCAGGCACTGAGAGCCCCTCGTGGATTGTGGTTAACAGTGACAGGCTCACGGACACAGAGAAGCTAGACTAACTGCACATGACATGAGCCCAGCGTATCGACTGCGTCTTGAGGTCGCGGTTTCTCAAATGGCGAACTGAGACTCAAAGCCAACATTTATCTCCCTGAAATAAAGAGGACTGAGAGGAATACTTATTAACTTCTCTCCCCTTTCCTATTGCTTCCTTTAGCCGGGTGATTTGTTGTACTTTCCCAGAGGAACCATTCATCAAGCGGATACTCCTGCGGGGCTGGCCCACTCGACTCACGTGACCATCAGCACCTACCAGAACAAGTAAACACGGCCTCCCGGCTGTGCACGCTAGGACAGCGCCGAGTCCTGGCCACAGCAGCCACGTTCGGGAGGGACATGAGGGAGTTGGCCCCTACCTCCTGTGCAGACCCCGGGGTTTCTGTGTCCTTTGCTGACTTCCACATTCCTTTGATGTCCCATGTATGTGACTGGCCCCTCTGGACTTGCCCCTGGGGACATCATGAACCTGACTCTATGTAGGACATGGGGCGTTGCCCAAATAAGAGAGTCCTATAGTTTGGAAAGAAAGAAACGAGCTGTGAGTACATCAGTGTGTTAGTGACGCCAGGCTGGGCTCGTACTCTCTCTTTTTATTTTTAGTATAAAATATATAGAACATAAAATATATCATTTTGAACCATTTTAAAGCATATATAGTTTGACATTAATTACAGTCACACTCTTGTGCAACCATCACCACTGTTCGTTTCTAAAACATTTTTATTCCAACAGAAACTCTGTACCCATTGAAATCTCTTGATCTCTTTTGAGGGGTTCTCTTTTTATAGTCCATGAAGTTAAAGTCGGACAGGCAGTCTGGAACAGCAGGAACTAAAGTGCATGTGCTGACAGCAGTTCCAATTAAAATCCTGTTTCATTTCAGCTAGTACCTCCTCACTGGGTGGCAGTGCTATGTGAGTTATATCCAAAAAGCAGCAACCTTGCTGGCCCAAATCATATTTAAAATACTAATCATGGCCAGGCATGGTGGCTCACTCCTGTAATCCCAGCACTTTGGGAGGCCAAGGGGGGTGGATCGCTTGAAGTCAGAAGTTTGAGACCAGCCTGGCCAACATGGTGAAACCCCGTCTCTACTAAAAAAAAAAAAAAAAAAAAAACAAATATTAGCCAGGTGTGGTGGTGTGCACCTGTAATCCCAGCTACTCTGGAGGTTGAGGCAGGAGAATCACTTGAACACAGGAGGTGGAGGTTGCAGTGAACCAAATCTCACCACTGCACTCCAGCCTGGGTGACAGAGCAAGTCTCTGTCTCAGGAAAAAAAAGTACTAGTCATGAGTTAATGTGTTAAGCAGATACGTACTAGACATTGTTTGTTGCTGGGAATTCAAAGATTGTATTGAAGGGACTTTGAGAGAGCTTATACTTTGGAAGTGGTTGTAGAAGAGATGGTGTGATAAATTCTATTGTAGGTTTGCGGAGGAGACTCTTGGAGCTTAGAGGAATGCATTTAGCTAAGTAGGGGGGTTAGAGAAGGCTTCAGAAATAACACCAGTGCTGAGTGAGTCTTTAAGGATGAGTAAGTAGGGGTGGGTCAGCAGATCAGAGTAGGAGCGGACATTCTAGGTCCAAGGAATGGCAAGTCCCCTCCTACCTTCAAGGCCAGAACTTGCAAAACAAGTTAGTAAGCATACCTCTGCTTCTTCATCAGACTTTTCAGTGTGAATTTCACCTCTACATTTAAAAGACTTACTGGAGGAACTAGCTGAGGTCTGGCCCTAGTGTAGTGCTACCTTTCCCACAAGTAGAAAGCCCAAGCTTGTATTAGGCTTCCATTTTGAAAAATGCCCTCATCACTGTGGCTACGTAGGTTCCTTGCATCTTAAGGGACAGAAAGTCACCAAAGCCAGCTCAAGAAGCACAGAGTCACTTGAGGGAGTGAGTCCTAGAAACTATAGAAGGGCCAGGCCACGGAGAGGCTGGAATCAGAAGTCCATTCTGGATTCAGAGCAGTTCTGGACCACATAGTTTGGCCCTTTGAACATCGTGCATCTGCTGGTGTCCCATCATTAATGTTTCTCAGCTGCTCCCTTTCTGTAATTCTCTTTTCCATTTCTCTTGCTGCTGCCAACTGGTTTTCTAGCAACTGGTGTTTTCTCCCTTCTATTCCTTCTGTAGCTTCTGTTTACTCATAACATTAAGCCATCACCAGTTGGTGCTCTGACCTCCCTCTATCTCATTGATCCTATTAGCTTTTGCTTCTGCTAAGGACCTGACTCACTCTCTGTTTCCCAGTCCCAAGAGTGAAGAACTGGCCGGCTGCCCCTGGGTCCTATTCATTTCTTCTCCATTCAGCTGGGGCTGGAGAAGAGCTTCCTAAGTTATAGAAGTTGCCTGCCTAGGGTTGTGGGTGGGTACCATGATCAATGTGTCCAGGCTGGATTTTGACCTGTGTCTTGGTCAGTGATGCTGGAGCTAGAATGAGAAGATGTGACTTGCGGGCCATTGCTCCCCAGAAATGATCCTGTGCTTTGAGCCTAATGCTCCTTCAGATACCATGGAAAGGTGAATATTTGGGGCCTCTTCCTAACACCTCTCAAGGTAGCATTGTTGGAGTGTTTGGGGGTCTGCTGTATGTCGTTGATTTGGTGGTTTTACCAAAGTGAACCCTTAAAGAGATATTCCTAAATTGTGCGAAGTCCTCATGTCTATTCTGAATATTCTTAGAAGAGCACTATTTAACTTCTACTAAATTCCTCCACGAACTGTTGCTGTATGACTTCCACCTACAAAACCCTGCAAAGGAAGCACATATTTTATGTGCTGAGAGATCTGCATACGCCCTCCAGGTTGAGACTCAACGAAAGATGCAGGGTTGGATATCACATTAAATCACAAAGCAGTGAGGCTGCCAGCTAGTAGACGTCTTGGGAAAACTGTCTCTCATGTGGCTTTTGTCCTCCTTTGCAACTTTTCTGGGAGGGAAGCATAACAGTGTTAATTTTGCTTACTGAGTGAGAAGTAAAAGTCATACTGTGAATTTCCATTTTCCACTCTCCGGCAGTTTGAAATCTGCTGGTGACACAGGAAAATGTTAAATTGCTAAGAAATGTTTAAAGAGAGCATCCCCACAGAGTGCGTTTCTTACACCGGCACACACTTAGGACCAGATACCCCAGAGAAAGCAAAGGTAATTGAATAGGGATGCTTGTCCCTCGATGTTATTTTTAGTCACTGGCTTCTATCCCCTGGTAAAACCACTGCTAGACATAATTGTTTTGGAATTATTGATGGTAGATATTTTATTCAGGAATAGCATCCCTTGCTGTAAGTGACAAGGAAAATGTAACATACAACTGTTCAAATAATTACACAATCCAGAGATCTTGCTGTTACCCCAAATTTCTGTTGTATTTATTGCACATAAAATTTGGTTTTAGGTCCTATAATGACTGTTTAAATTTCCTACAAATCTCCTCTCATAGACACTTTTGTTAAAAATTTGGTCTGTTGAACTTCCTGTTTTATGGAAGTCTATGGTTGATTTTCTGAGAGCTTTTAAGAGAAATCAGTATTGAAGCCTAGCTTCCCACTTTTAATTTTGCAAGTGAGCGTCTGGAATGGGGAGGGAGGACACAGGGTGGTTGATGAAGGTCTTAGATTTCCATGCTGAGTAATGTCCAATTAATGGAACTCAAAATGCCTGGACAGGGAAGCCATAATCCAATCTGTAGCTTTTGGCTTTACTAGCAATAACTATTTTATGTATATTTCGTCTGTGCTCACTGTTTTGGCTTTTTTTTTCCCCCCTTGGTGCATATCCTAGTTCATGGGGAGATTTCCTTTTGGATACCATCTCGGGGCTTGTATTTGATACTGCAAAGGAAGACGTGGAATTACGGGCCGGCATACCCCGGCAGCTGCTCCTGGTAAGGAGTAAAGGCAGCTAGGATGAAAGATGGTAGCTGCAGCCCAGGCCAGCTGAAGTCCTACCTTAAGGAGCCCAGGATACTTCTTCCTACATGAGCCAGGCTTGTCTACTGTGCTGCACTGCTGAGCTGGGTGATTTGCAGAATGAGTGGAGTGCCGTGTGTTACGTGGTGATCCAGAGAACTGTGATGTTGTCCAGACAGCTCTCTATTTCACAGTGGCAGTAGCAGGCAGTGTGAAAATGTTGGTTGAGTAAATGAATAATATGGCCAGGAGAACTGTAGATTTAGCACACATCAGATTACTAGTTAAGAGAGATTCACTGTACTGGAGATCCTGGCCTCGGTGTATTCATTGGCCTCCTGTTCTTTTATTACCTTTTGAAACCGGGGTGTTATTTGATTAGTTTTGAGATGAGTGGATTAGAGCTGAGTTGAGCAAAGGTTGCTTTCTCTGTCTGAAGCATTCGTCTTAGGACAGTGACCTGCTTTCCAAAAGGCAGAGCTTAGACTGTACCATTTTCTCAAGGATCTCTATTTCTAGACAAAATTCTGAAATTTTTTTGCAAACAACAGGCAGCTTAGAATTAACAGTGTTTATAAGGAAATGATGAGATATTCTTAGTGGCTCAGGTTGTCCCTTCCCCTTTGGAATGACATGGATTAATGTTCGTCCCGGGTGGCTGGCAGTTTTGCAGTCTACTGTGGAGACTGAGCTGGGCAGTAAGTTCTGCTGGCATCTGGGCCAGGACTCACTTCTGTGTTCCTAGCAGGTGGAATCCACAACTGTTGCAACAAGACGATTAAGTGGCTTCCTGAGGACGCTTGCGGACCGGCTGGAGGGCACCAAAGAACTGCTTTCCTCAGACATGAAGAAGGATTTTATTATGCACAGACTCCCCCCTTACTCTGCGGGAGATGGGGCAGAGCTGTCAACACCAGGTGGAGCTTGCTGTTTTCTTCTGGGTGGTCAGAGGCTAATGCAGGATGTTTGCGGTTTTTCTGGGTAGGCGCCTCTTCGAACAGATGGAAAGTTTGAAGTGCTTTCATGTTAATGTGGACCTACATCCATCCTTAGTGTATGTGGTCAGACGAGATGTGCTGCACTCAACCTTTAGTAACCTGCATCTTAGAAGTCATTTGGAAAGAACTTGTATCCCAGCCTGATGGGAAATAAGAGCCCTGTCCTTTTGGGTGAGAAATATGTATATTTATAGGTACTCTGGTATTCATAGTCTTCAGGAAGTTTTAAAAATTTGAACATTGAAATAATCTTGTTGGAATTAAGTCAGGGATGGGTTGTCTTTGTTTGTGTTGCTTAAAGGAATACGTGAGGCTGGGTAATTTATATAGAAAAGAAGTTTATTTGGCTCATGGTCTGCAGGCTGTACAAGAAGCATGGTGCTGGTATCTGCATTTGGAGAAAACCTCAGGCCACTCACAGTGGAAGGAGAAAGGGAGCCGGCATTTGCAGAACACATGGTGAGAGAGGAAGCAAGAGCGAGGATAAGTGCCAGGCTCTTTTTAACACCAGCTGTCATGGGAACTAACGGAACAAGAACTCACTCACCGCCCCCGACCCTAGGGAATTAATCTATTCATGAGGGATCTGCTCCCCGCAGTGTGACCCAAACACCTCCCCTTAGGCTGCACCTCCATACTGGGGATCAAATTTGAACATGAGATTTGGATGGCACAAACATCCAAATCATAGCATAGGTAAAATGGGTGCCATCAGCCAGTGAGATTCAAGAAATGTCCAAGATTATTGTCAGCCTTCTCCAAGGTACAGGTGCCTAATTTATGACAGATTTAGCCTGCAATTGATATAACATACTTCTGGATGGATGATATCATTGATGACTTCCAGATGGATGATGTCAATGTCCTATAGCAAAGACCATCAAGAACATACTCCTGAATTCAGACCAAATTGGATTTATTGACTTGGTGCAGTGGGAAGACCACACACCATTGGGGACTGCAGGGCATCTCAGTAAAAGGGTGTTAGAAAAGATTTATAGGACTCAGGTGTAAGGTGATTTTGGAGAGGGTTCAAGGAAGCAGGGCTTTGCTCTGGATTGGATGTTGTCAGGAAATGGAAGGGATTCTAGGATTAAGTCTCCTAAATGTTACCTGGTAGGTAGGAGGAGGGATGTATGAGGCTGAAGTTATCAGTGGTAAAGCAGACGTGGTCACTGATTAGCCAGAGTAGGGGGACGTTTGGTCAGTGTTGTGGTTTGGAATATGTTCTTGCCTTGCCTGAGTTTAGACATGAGTATGTATGGAGCGATGGTGTTTTGTCTTCACCTATCACGGTCACAGAGTGATCTCTGATGTTAGCATTCTGTGGAACTGCCTGTGTTCAACAGGGGAACACCAAGACCTAGCTGTGACTGCCAGGCCAGCTTTTTGGCTACTGTTCTTTCTCAGGGTTGAGTGAAGAGAGTATTTCTTACTAACTTTTATAAAACTCTTATTTATGACCAAGAGAGAACCACTGAGATAATCTATAAGGTCCCTTCCAACACTGATTCTGTATACATTTTTATTATAGTCTTTGGAGGAAGCTTAGAATTTGTTTTTGATTGTATCTATTCAAAATAGCAAATGTTTTACAAGCACATGGTTTAATCTTTAGCAGAACAGTTTGCTTATGCACCAGCTTATGGCCCAGATTACTTCAGTGTTTTCCTTAGCCATTATATTCAATAAAGTGATGATCCCTCACAAATCTTTCCCCACGCAGATGACCCTGTAAGGCTAGTCTGTTTTTATTTTGTATTGTTCCACTAAGTTAAATCCAATTTGGAAAAAAAAAATTTTTTTCTGTGGACTTTATTAGATGGCTTTTATAGGATACTATGCTTGACTTACATAGACTGAATAATTGACCAGGGTCACACACCTAATAATTGGTGGAATAGTGCAATTTTGAACTCAGGTCGTCCTTCCAGGGTCCACATGTTGAGCAAGAAGCTTGTAGAGGAGAGAAACTGGAGGAGTGAGTGTTCTGTGCAGAAAGCACCACAGCCTTATGTGCTGTGATACTTATGTGTGTGTACTTCGATGGTATTATTTTTGTCTATTTATTGTACTTATAAACTTACATTGGTATTTATCTAATTCTATGTCTGTCTTTACTGTAAGAATGAGCTCCATAACGATGTGAACTATAATATCAGTACAATGTTGGGGTAAGCAAAGTCCAGTTGGAGTGTATGCCATGTTTGGATTCACCTGTAAATTGTTAGTAAAAGTGTTTCCTATGTCTGTAAGCAAGTTTGAATCTGCCTGTTTCCTTTTTTGAAGGTCAGCTTTCTCTCTTTGGGGTTTTCTAGGTGGAAAGTTACCGAGGTTGGACAGTGTAGTGAGACTGCAGTTTAAAGACCACATTGTCCTCACAGTACTGCCAGATCAGGATCAATCTGTGAGTATCCAAGAGGGAGATTTCCTCTCTTCTCAGGGTGTTTTTCATCAGAGGCCTCGGTTATCAGATTAACCACTGGTCTCTGCCCATCTTTAGGAATCCACCTGCATTCAGTTTAATGCCATTTCTTCAGGTCAGATGATGACCAAATCTCACAGTTCCAATTCCATATTTTCCTGCCCTCATCCTCACAGAACATTCCTTCATTCCCTTTATGTGGTGACTGATGTCTAGTCTTTGCTTCCCATCCTACTTCAGGCCTTACTGTTCCTGCTTGGACAGCCACAGACCTCATTCATGAGTTTCCCAGCCCCAGTCCTCCACACTGTGCACATCTGTCTCTCTATGTGGTTTTGTGGATATTGCATCTACTTAAACTCTATCCTGTAGATCATGGACAACAAAGTCTATATTCTGTAACTTTGCTTCCTAGCCCAGTGATTCCCCAAACTGGCTAACTGATCATGGAGTCGATTGGAAAGCTTTTTAAAATTATAAATTCCTGAGTTTCATCTGGTCTTGGAGCCTTTGGATTTATGTTTTCATAGAGCTCCCTGTACAGTCCTAAGAACCATCTCATACCATATGGCTTTTCCCCATTCCTCCTAATCAGCTCTCTGAGGAGCTATCCTATGAATGATCAAGGGGGATAAGAGGGGTTCTCAACATGTCTCAATAACCAGATTTTCCAGCCGTCAGGGCCAGACTTGGAATGCTCAGTTTTTTAAATCCTACCTGCACTGTCTTTTTGGAATCAAAAGTACACATTCCTACATCCTTGTCTAAAAAAAAAAAAACAGTGATTCTGATAACCAGTCAGTTTGAGACATTGTATGCTAGGCTAAGATTTTTTTGCCCTTATCTAAGAGGTGACAAAGAATGACTAAAGGCTGTGGAAGAGACGATAAACTGCACTGTGTAAGATGGGGGGTGAAAGGAGATAGGGACCATGTGGAAGGGTACTGTAATGGAAATGGAGTTTTTTATAGATCACACAGCTGGTATTTCTCAGGAGTTAATGACTTCATGATGTTCATAAATTGTCAGTTTATACCTAGGAATGTCAGATGTTTTTGATTCCAAAAAAGACAGTGCAGGTATGATTTAAAAAACTGAGCATGTCATTGGTAAGTTGATACATAAATCATTGCTTTTTCATTAAATCCTGAGGATGCTCTTCCAGGTGGCACTCCAGCTGTTTTAACAACTTATTGCCACATACAAATAGTAACCTGTGGTGACTAATGAAGTGTAGACATTGTGTGGATGCACACACCCATCACTTTTTGCCAAAAGGATTCTTTACAGTTTTCAGTAAATTTCACTTGAACACCAAGGCTTTTAAGATTTTTCTTGATGTTGACCTATTGGAAAACCTTTCTAGCACTGACATCCTCAGTGTTGTGTTGTTGATGGCCTAATGCATTTATTTTTTTCCCAAAGGATGAAGCTCAAGAAAAGATGGTATACATCTATCATTCCTTAAAGAATAGGAGAGAGACACACATGATGGGGAATGAGGAGGAAACAGAGGTTTGTTCCAACTGAAAACAAATGCCTATCCTGTGCCTTGGGTGGTGGTTGGGAAGAATGGATTATTTTTGATTTATAGGTAATATGCTTTTTATGGCTGCACTGTGGACTTACCATTTTGCACTACTCACAGAGCTCCTTCATGGGGATGATTAAGTCAGACATTTCTGTGATACATGCACACCAGTTTTAAAGCTTACTAGCTGGGACCTGTAGCCTTATAGGAATGGTATAATGTAAAGCATTTCAAATTACTAATATCACTTACTACATAAATTAGGATCCCTTTTATATAGAAGTTGGCATCTTTTATGTTATCATCTAATTGTAGCATATCTAAAATACTCATGAAGGGTATCAAAAATAATGTATTGAGAATAAATTTACAGGAAAATGCCACTTCAGTGACATAAGTAGTATACATATTTTTGACTAATTAATGTATCCTTTTTCAGTCTCATGGACTTCGCTTTCCTTTGTCACATTTGGATGCACTGAAGCAAATTTGGAACAGTTCCACTATTTCTGTCAAGGACCTGAAACTTACTACAGATGAGGAAAGGGAAAGCCTGGTATTATCCCTCTGGACAGAATGTTTGATTCAAGTAGTCTAGTGCCTTTGCCGAATCAAATGCTACTATTTTATATGCACATATTAAAAGAAAAGCAAAGACCTGAGCCGAGGAGAGGATGAATTCAAGTTTCCTTACCTGCGTATCTATTAACATGAGACCTCCCTATTATAGGTGGTCATTTGGCCAAGTGTACTAACAGGGGCACATGAAAGAACAGCAAATTATCAAGTGTCTCAGAAAATGAAAAAACCATATTTTGACAAGTTTATTTAATCCAGTGTGGTAGAAAAGGCACAATTCCAATGTATCATTTAGAATTGAATGTCATTAACCTGGCTTTGTTCTTTGGAAGAAACAACTTCTTTAAAGAGCTGCTTTGGCTCTAGAAAAATTTCCAACAATTAAAATAAAAAATTTTAAATTGTTTTTTTACAATGAAAATATACATACCTTTGTGTATAGACAAGCCCATGCCCACTAAAAGTTATCCTGTAACATAAATTTTATTAAATAATACTCCCCCACAATGAGAGGCACACAACACCTGTGGACAAAAGGGAGTTACAGAGGCTGCTTAAAAGATGGAGAAAAGCCTGAAATTGAGGGAGGAAAAAACCCAGTATTTACATGGAAAAACTAAGTCTATAAAAAATACTCAAAATAGTGGGTCTTCGAGTTTAAAATACTCACTGTTATTTTACATTCTAAAGTGCATATAGGTTGATATTTTTTAAAATATCACCAGAGAATTTAATCTTTATAAAAATAGAGCATTTTTCTGCTTTCTGGCAAAAGTTGGGGATAAAAGGAAAAGTTGTCTTAATGTAAGTCTCAATCCCATTCAGCAGGAAAAAAAGGTGGTAATGACTACTGGAAGCCAAGTCAAAGGTGATTTCCTGCCTGAGTTTACTTAAATAAAAGTTACTTACCATGGGAGTGAAGAAGTGAGGCTTCTATTATTTAGTAGAGAAATCAACTCCACATTTATTTAAAAAGATGGTAAGGTCAAGGTTCAAATGCTACTTTGTTTTAATTTGGACATTTGAAATTTCTCTTCACTTGAGGCAAAAAAAAAAAAAAAATTGCCTCTCCTTAAATCTAGGATGAAGTGTCAGCGTGGAGACAGGTAACCACTGTTGTAGAGTCTTGTCACCTAAAGGGATGTCTTGGTTAACATGTAAGAGTGCAAGTTTGGTCATAGGTTATTTGTACTGTTCTAGTTTGAAGGACTGAGGAAACAATAGCTACAGAAAATACTTTACTACTTGTGCCTTATTCCTAACAAAGCTGATGTCCCTGCCTGGGGTTAGTTACAAGTAAAAATAAATACTTATGAGGTGTGTTATAAAAGTCTCAGTATAGAAACCTTAAAGTTTATCTAGGAAAGTTTAATATATATTTTCAGATGTTGCTAAAAAATTACTCATCTGTTTGCAAAAGTATGACTTGACCTATAGGAATCTGTTCCCTTATGCTTTGTACTCATACAAGCATCTAGGTAGGATATTAATAAATACTACAGGATAACAGCATCACCAGTGTCCAATAACAGGCCATCAGGAATAGGATTCACGTTTGGTGGATAGGAGAGAAAATAAACACTTCAGGAAACTTGCTCACCACAGCTGGAGATCAGGAATAGAACCTTTGCCAGACATCATAATATTTTCTTTATAGGAACACTGAGTAATGGCAAGAATATTTTGAGCTTTTCCATGGTTAAGAGCGATAGTCTCAGAGGTTGGAGAGAATGTTCATTCTGCTCAGTGATCCAGGAGTGTGAGGATAGTAGCTTCCTTTCCATGTCTACGAGACAATGACAGATGTGAGTTTCCTCCTCCTTCACTCTTTCTAGGGATGTTGATTCTCTCATAATATTTCAATGTCCCATTTCTGTGTTTCTTCTCCCTCCAGGGGCTGATTTACAATTACATGAGTCTTGTCACAATAATTTCCTCCTAAAATAGAAATTCCAAAAGAAAAGATTATTTGTTCAGGCAGGTGCTTAGCAATTTCACAATTTTCACAAGCTTCTGTTCAGCTCACCATTTCAGTGGATTAATGTGTCATTTACAAAGAAGTCTGAAATGAGAAGCTGAGTCTGAACAGGCTTAGCCATTATTCACCTCAAATTGGACCTTATTAATTATGACTCAAATTGAAATACTAAAAGGTATAATACATGATTGTGTAAGCGGCATGCCTTAACAATGCGATTCTTTACAACAGAGTGCTCTGAGAGAACTCTAGCTGAATGTCAGGTACTGTGTTTTTGTTTCTACACCAACAAAACTGACTAACCCAATTAAAGCAACAGCCATGAATAATACTGGCCCTGACCTTGCTGAATTCAAAAACAAGGTTAATTGAGACCTACCATAAATTAGAGCTGAGTGTTTGAAGGACCATGGCAATTCCTGGCGAAAAGCTGGAGATGTTTCTAAGAAACAGATGATATTCATGGGTTTATGGTGCTTCGAATTTAGAACTGTTCTGAGTTCATGTAGCAAATGCAAGTTTTACAACTGTACTAATGAACAAAAACCCTAAGCTTTGTTGTTTGGCTTTTTCTGCTAATTGTTTTGTTTGTATAACTGCCTGTCTTAACTTTTTTTCAAGCATAATTTTAAATGATGTAACATTTCTCTTATACATAAGGATTTCCTTTACCCAAAATGAGGAGATGTGGAACTGAAACTAATATCCAGGGACCCAACATTGGGTATCATTTTATAAAGGCCCACCTTTAACATCGAGGACAAGTTGATCACTGAGATAAGAGCTGATAGTTCCATTTTGATTCAGTCTCCACTTCTGCCTGAATTGCCCATGTTCAGTCCATAGAGCTACTTTAGCTCCAGGTGTGTCCCGGCCACCAATCACATCAAGACATGTATCACTGGCCTAAAAGGGTTAAGAAATGATTAATTGGCAATACTGTGTTTGCTAAAGTAAGTTGAATTAGGTCCCTTTTCTCTTAGGTAAACAAATCATAGACCTGAAGTATGTATGTCTTGTCTAAAAAAAATACTATATAGTATAATTTCAGTAAGCCTTTTTTAATGTCTTCTTTATGGCTGTGGGTAGGAAATGGTACAGAAATAAACCAACTGAAATAGAGGTACTTGTTTTTAATAGGATGTCTACGTCTGACACAGATGTTCAATAAAGATTTGCTGAATTGGAATTAAATGTTAAACCCTTGTTTGCTTAAAATGTATTATGCTGAACTTGGTTTTCTTACGAAAACATTGCATGATGGGCTAAAGATATCCAGAAAATAATTACTTTTAAATGTTTTTCATTTTTGAAGCATGAAAAAAAGAAGATAATCCATTGGTGATACAATAAAACACAGTTTGAATGTTTTAAAACTAGTGTTCTATTCCCAATGCATTAAACATAATGGGAGGGTCATAGAAAAGAACAACCCTAAATTTTATTTTCTAAGCTTCTTCCAATAACAGCTTTCTTTTTCTACTGCTTCTTTTGTATACTTTGAAAGTGAAAGGGTTTCAACCTATTTAGAATCAGACATAGCTGATTTTATCTGGGCCATCAAGTAAGGAACGTCTTGCAAAAGCACATTGTCCAGCTTAGATCTGGTGACTTATACCATTGGTTGTAAATAAAAAATCACTTAGGTATATCCATAGTATGTGATAACCTTTGTGTTTACTTAAAAATTGAAACTGGATTATCTAGATCAAAAAATTAAGTCAATTTTATATAAATGTTTTAGTAATATATGGCAGTATTTTTATAATCAACACCTGTTTCTAAGAAGTTGCACTGTTTTATCATGCCAGTTGATTTGACAAGATTCTAGTTTTCAAAACAAAAAACTGAGGCCAGAAAGTGGCGTACTGTATCAGTAGGATTGCTTACCTTGGATTTAAAGAGGCCTCGGCAGTAGTGCCAGATCTGAGTATCCTTTCCACTATAAGGAGAAATGCACACAGATGTTGCCCTGGTGTCTGCTAGATTTCCAGTGACTGTCAGATATTCATCTTGGGCACGGTTCTTTATTCTGATGTACACTGCAGGCTATGACAGGAGAAACAGCCATTTAGAAATAACCTTTTGAATCTGGAAGTGAGTAATTCCAGAGGAGGAAAGCTGGGAGGGAAAGTGGGAGGTAACTATCTTAGTTATATCAGTTTCACTCTTATTCCCTTTAGTAAATCTGCATAAATAAATATGGTAAATCCGTAGGCCATGGAGCACAAAGCTTAAATTGTACAGTCTCTATTACACTTTGTGAAAAGGGCCCTTTTGAACAGCATAAAGTAAAAGTTTCTTTCACTAGAATTCCATGTGGCAAGGAGTGAGGTGGTAAAGAATTAGGGACTTGATGAGTTTCATTCAATAACTAGCGTGTCCCAGCTGTGCTGAGGGAGGTAGGCGAGTTAGAATAAGGGTAAGGTATTACCTACAAGGATTTTGTAACAACTTCAGAAAGACAATCAGACATACTGTGGAGCTATGACTAAATGCCATTAAGTTGGCCCTGGGATGTCTTGAAAAACCCAGACAGCTGAGGGCCCTAGTAGCTGTGATTACTTGTTTACATAAGACCTTTATTTCTTCAAAAGTAGAGACCATGTATGTTTAATGACTATACTGAGGTACTCAAAAATTGTGTAACAAAGGACTTCGTCCCCTTGGCCTGGAAGTTTTAAGATACATATAAAAAGTTTTAAAATATTAAACCTGGGACTTGCCTCTAAGGAGAATAGCTAATATTTATTGAACATGTAGTATGTGTAAGCAGCATGCTAAATGCATTCTGTGCCATTGTTATTTTTCAGAATAACCACAAAAACCTATTAAGAAAGTACAATTATGACCCTAGTTTTACAAATAAGGTGAACACAGATACAAAGAAGCCAGGTTCCTCTTAACTAGGATGCTCTCAGACCTATGTTGAAATGCACTAGTTGCTCTTAGGCACAGGGAAGAAGAGACGAATTCCAAAGGTGGCCGTGTAAGACAATGAAAGGCAGGGGACATAATCGAAGCACAACAGAAACCATTATTTCAGCCCTATGACTTAGGCCTCCAGGCTTAATGTAATAAGATACATGACACCCAACATCCCCACCTTTGGTTCATCTCATTACCATCCCAGTTAGGACCCTGGCTTAGTAATAACAAATGGTCTCTTACTTGAGAGCACTTTCATGCTAAGAAACATAAGTGCTTAGGTAAATGCAATAGGTAATATGGTAAAAGCACCAATGAACAGTCTACTATTTTTGAAACTTGATAGATCAACATGAAGCCAACTGAATTTTGGTAATTAAGCCTTCCTAAGGAAATACACATTCTCAGCACTTAAGGCAATAGAAGGGCAAATTATCTGGCCATTTAAAGCAGGTGAACAAGATCTCTACTTGGCAAAATGTTTTAAATGTTTCAAATCCCTACTTCCAACATTAACAACGCAACAGTAGTGTACTTAAATGTCTATAATTCAGCCTGATCTCCCACTGCAATTATTAATTCTTGAGGCTTCAGTATATCTTTATTACATTTTCATTACCTTGTACATATAAGAAAACAGGCGTGACCTTCACAGATGACAGAATTCCAATTACTTTAGGACCAAACATCACAGTTTTAATAAATTAACTCAAGCAAGGTACTAATTACCCTTATTACACATTTGTAGTCTGACTCCTCTGTAATTATACTTAAAAACACTGATATACATTATAAGTACCTTAGTGACTTCCTAATTCCCAGCCTCAAAGAGGATCACATTTTAATTAGTCCTGAATTTCTAAACGAGAATATGAACTAAAGCAGTACCAACAACCTTACCACAAATTTAAATGTGACCCACACACTACTATTTTAGAAACTCAAATTCCTTTGTTGGATTTCAAAACTGTGACCTAAATAAACAATAGGAAAAATAATCTATTAAAATATTATTTTGAAATTAAATGTTTAATCAGAAGAGGAATCGGGTAGCTCCTAAAGCACAATGAAAGAAAACAGCATACTATTCTTGTTAAAAAAAAAAAAACAAACAACTTCCTTGTAAAAGTAGAGGTGGCTGTTCTCTCCTTTACCAGAGAATCCTGAGCAATAGGCAGGGACATCCTTCCCCAACAAGGAACCACCATTAAAAAATGAGGAACATATTTTCAGTGTTGAACTTAGCTACTAAAATGTCTAACAGAGGGTCAGCATTATGATGTAGTTAGTAAAAGCTAAACTGAATTCCTATCTCTACTTTGCTTTTTCCGATGGCTTTTCAGTGGGCTTACTTCCTGTTCCACATGATAGGAGTGGGGAATAAGCAAGATGTAAAGGTCATGAGATCCTGTACCACACACTCTGCCAGGAAAGCCACTAATGTTTCAGTATCCCTCAAAAGAGCATCTCAAGGGACATTGTGAACAATAAAAAAAAACACTTTCAAAATCAGTATGTTACCATAGTAATATGAGCCAGAGCCATATCAGACTGTTCATACACATTATCTTACTCAACCGTCACAGCAATGAGATGTAAGCAATGTGATCATTGCTTCACCAGTGAGAAACCTGAAGTGCCAAGAAATGAAGTGACTCACCAAGCTGCATTGCTTACAAATGACAGAGCCAGGATTCGAACCAACAGAACTCATGAGTGGTGGGATAAGCATGGTGTGTGTGCACGTGTGCATGTGAAGAGGGTGAGAGAAGATAAATTAGGTTAATATTTTATTGGTTACCATTTATTTAACACTTAAGTGAGGGTTAAATAAGTGTCAGGTCAGAACATCAGAGCCTCAGCATTTAGACCCACTAGGCTGTATTCAGCTCAGTGCCTGAAATAGGTGGTACTCTCTAAGTGCTCATCTTAGGCTGACGGAACGTAGAGTGTGGTTGCTTCGGAACACAGATTTTAAAGCGTAGATTTGGGTTCAAATCCTGGTTCTGACACTTGGATGACTTTCGTCAATGTGCTTCTATTGTCACAGGTAAGAATCATTATCCCCATTTTCCAGTTGGAGCCTTATTCTCTCAGAGCCTTATTATTCCAACTAGAAGATGGGAATAATTCCTACCTCAAAGGACTGTTGTTGGATTCAAGCAATATAGTGTTCTAAAGAGATTAGAGAGAGGTACTAATGCCATATCCACGGGCCGTCACACCCCTGACAGTTTCACTTGGGTTTTCCACCTTCCATGAAACCTCCCTCCTACTCCTAAACATGTTGATACTTCCTTTCTCTGAACCAGGGACTGCCTGTGGCTTTTGGATAATTATGCATTGTTTTGCATTTTATGTTACTGCTTTGAGTTGGACATGTTTTACCCAACAAAAATGTAAGCTTTAATAATAATGGCAGAAATCACATCTATCTTTATATTTTCCATTATACTTTGCATAATATCATCGGTCCATCCACTGATATATTCATTCCTTCATTAAACAAATAGTTCCTCAGCTCTTACAATACTCCAGACATTGTTTCAGGCAGTAGGGGTAGAACAATGAGCAAAACATGCACAGTCCTTGACTTCACAGGGTTTTCTGCAGAGTGGGAGAGACCCCAATCCAACTCTAATGCTAGGGTTATAAACGGCATACAGTGTTTTGATAGAAAAAGCACCCCCAGGTCTTTTATGATCTAATGTAGATTGGGAGGGAAGGTGGGGGAGGCATTCTTGAGGACCTGACACTTAAGTAGAATTTACAGGGATGACTAGTCAAAGAATGAGGGAAGAACACTACACAGAGGGTGCAGCCCATGTTAAAAGTCTTAGTGGGAAAGCACTCTGTACTTAGATGCCTGTGACACAGCCATGTGAGAGATGAGGTTGGAGGAGCAAGGTGGGGTAGGGGGTAGATTGTATTCTAAGTGCAGTGGGAAGCTTTTGAACAGAAGACTGACAAGCAGTAGGTGTGCAATAAATACTTATTTTAATTAAATTGCCAGGATCCCTCCTGAGTATTATATAAGTAGGGAGGGGAATATCCAAATGCTTAGAAATTAAAACTAGTACAGTATCAAAGTTCATTCCTGTTACCAAGGTTTGCCACAGAACTTATGATATCTTAGTTTTCCACAAAAAGTGAACATGGCCAATGAGGCTTTGGACTGAAAACTGAAATCCAATGTTGACTTTAGATACAGTCTTACAAATTGGTTAAAATGTACAAGATAACTGCATCCTAATTTACTCCCCCTACTATGTAAATGTCAAACTAAAATGATTATTATTTCAGATGTTGTGGTTTATGACATTTCTACCACAAAAGCAAGCTATTTGGAATCTTACAGTTCTTTTCTCCTTACCTGCTTCATAGGACGGAGGGAACCAATTGTCTTCCATCTGCTGAATGCTGTCCAGTTTGGGATCTCATT